GCCTGGTTCACCCACCCAGGAGTCCTCCCTCCTCCTAAGCTTAGTCCTGAGGTAATATGTACAAGTGAGAGGGCCCAGGAAAATGGAAAATCTGCGTTGAATAGTGCAAATGCTAAAAACGAATGTCATATTCGTAATCAGGACCCCAAATAACCCCTGTATACAAGTTTACAGCGAATTTGGTGAAAATAGCCCTGGCGCCAAACTTCGACAGTCTAACAAATGCGAAAATAAATGCGAAGTACAAGTTTATCCTTGATCATCAGCTGTCAAATCTCTGACATTTCTAAGTGAGGTGTGGAATGACATCCATTTTCCATCCTATGTAACGGTCGAGTGGAAAGTCTGCCGTTTTGACTTGGCATAGATGGATTCCAGCGGTTTTTTCCCACGGCGGTCTTGATCGCATCGTCAGGTTTCTTGATTGTTCTGCCAGTGATAGAAAATGGATGTGGTGGTCTTTCTGGTCACACGCGTCTTTTATTCACATACATAGGTTTGGTGCACACGCTTGTCCACTGCTTAAAATGCACGAAAACCGTTTCGCCAACGACTTGTGGCTCGTTGAATTTTAATTGCTCCTATTCTTTATCGCTTTACTAGCTCTCACGGACCTCCTTTCTTCCTAATCATTGAGTTACACGAGGGGAATAGGGTTTCATGGCATTCGTAGCCGTCCGTTGACATTGTACATTTCAGGCATATCGTTTCATCCAACACGACCATGGGTTTTGGCGTCTTTGCACAGTGGCGTGATCCAGCTATGGGATTATCGAATGTGTGTGCTGCTCGACAAATTCGATGAGCACGATGGTCCCGTAAGAGGCATTTGTTTCCATCAGGACCAACCTATTTTTGTTTCCGGAGGAGATGACTATAAAATAAAGGTGTGTTCATAAAGGTTATCCATTATTGATCGTACTTCATTCAAAATATTTCAGGTATGGAATTACAAGCAACGCCGTTGCATTTTCACTCTTCTCGGTCACTTGGATTACATCCGGTCGACATTTTTCCACCACAAATATCCATGGATCATTTCCTCATCAGATGACCAAACTGTTCGTATTTGGAATTGGCAAGTCGAGAAATTCTATCGCCATTCTCACTGGTTGGTTTCCCTTCTTCAAGTTCAAGCAAATTTTCCAACATTTCTGCCCTTGTGATTGCTCTTGTTGCACATATCCTCACGCGGCTTCTTGATTTGAGGCAATGTCCAGAATTAGCGTCGAACTGAGAAGTCCGCAAGCAGGTTTACAGTGGAACGTCGCTTCACAGCGTATCACATCAGGTTCAATAATTGCTGGTGCCACACCATCGAATAACTTTTTCACTTGATGTCATTGTTGTTTACATAAACAGCTCTAATGGCTTGAATTTGGGTTTGCGATAAGTCACTACAGAAGGCTCTCATCGAAAAACATCCTAGTCATGGGGCAATACTTGGGGATCGTGGCTTTTTTTGCTTGTGATTCAATTTCAGCACAACATTTTTATGACTCATAAGAAATTCGAGTTTCACAAAATGCAAACTCTTTTCTAGGACACAATCATTATGTGATGTGTGCGCAGTTTCATCCTTCCGAAGATCTCGTAGCATCCGCATCACTTGATCAGACTGTTCGAATTTGGGATATCTCCGGTTTGCGTGAGTTTTTACTTTCGTAAGACACCATTCAGTTGGATTCATTTGTAATGAATTTAATCGAAGCTAAAGCGGTTTGAGTTTGATTGTAAGTAATGTTAAATGAAAATTTAGGAAAGAAACAGCTGCCTGGCGGTGGTGGCAGTGTACCCAGATCGGGAACAGGACCACAGTCACAAGCTGACTTGTTTGGACAACCGGATGTCGTTGTTAAGCACGTGCTAGAAGGACATGACAGAGGTATTATTTTCATGGTTAATTAACATTTCATTCAAAAATGATATTTTGTAGGTGTAAACTGGGTGGCCTTCCATCACACTATGCCCATTCTTGTATCGGGTTCCGATGACCGTTTAGTGAAGCTGTGGAGGTAACAACGAGTCCAAGGCGTGGGAGGTATGCGTAAAATTAGTAACATACCCATGAGGTTATGCCGTTTTCTTGTTTTTCCATCAACGTTTCTGTAGGTGGATAGCTGTCGTGGCCACTACAATAACGTGTCGTCGGTTCTTTTCCATCCAAAAGCGGAGCTGATTCTCTCCAATTCAGAGGATAAGTCCATTAGAGTGTGGGATTTGCAGAAGAGGACCAGCCTCCACGTTTTTAGGTAGATCTTTTACTCAAGAAGCCTTTTCAAATATCTTTCCTGAATTTCTAATTTTAAGACATGAGAACGAGCGATTCTGGGTCTTGTCGGCTCATCCAAATCTCAACATGTTCGCAGCTGGTCATGACAATGGCATGATTGTATTCAAGATTCAACGCGAGAGACCGGCGTACTGCATTACTGAAAATCTTGCCTTCTATGTCAAGGACAAGCAACTTCGACGTCTTGATCTCACTACCAAGTAAGTGATCTCTGAAGTTGCTTGTTTTGTGAATTTGTTTGACATACTATTCCCCAAATGTCAGATTTTTCAAATTTTTGAACCCTTGTAGTCGTAGAAGGATAAAACTTGTTCAGTTACAAGTGAGTCCATTTTTCAGCAAGGATCAGGGAATGTGCAAACTTCGAGCTGCAGCTGCGTTCATGCAGCCCTATTATGCGCTGTCATACAAATCCGGCCGAGAATGCGTTTTTGCTGTCCAGTCGCTCTCACAACAAAGAACAATGCTTCTACGACATCTACAGAGTTCGTTATTAGCTCGATTCGATGTCGTTTGTAATGTCTACCATGACCAAATGGTATAGAGGCATCATTCCCGTAATGAGCTAGAGAACCCATTCCATAGGAAATGTGAAGCTATTCAGAGGAAACAGTTCACATCCTTCCTGGTTCCCGACATGCAGTTTTCTTTTAATTTCCATCTATATTTTCTCTCTGTTTAGCCGGGCCAGCTTCAGTAGGGATCATTTGGATTCTTAGATTCATCCTAATTTGACTTCTTAAGATGCTTTTTGAGGATCATTAATTCAATACCGAGTCGGATTTCTGATCACACAATTTGAGGGCGTATTCAAATGAGAGTATTGTAGAATTCTAGAAATTAACCAATTGAGCAACCACTCTGAATCGTACCTCCTCATTGAGATCCCCACAATCACTCAACCTGATCTCTATGCCGAGCTTCGAGCTCACTATCAGTGTAGTAGCTATTGTAATTGCTCATTCTGGGACCAGTTTTGAGTTTCTGCTTGTAGGTACCCAAAGATTCGGACGGAAACACGGAAGCACCAGTAAATCGTTCTCCTGGAATCGCTGCCGTCTGGGTTGCTCGTAATAGATATGCCGTCTTGGATAAGAACCAGCAGGTACTCCGTGACATTAAAATTTGTGTGGTATTCTATTTCTTAATGATCACTACAATTTTTTAAAGATTTCTCTTCGTGATCTGTCGAACAAGGAAGTGCGCAAGATCGAAATGAATATTCCCATTGACGATTTGTTCTATGCGGGAACTGGTGTGATCCTGTTGAGAAACGAAGAGGGTCTACAGTTATTTGATGTTCAGCAGAAACGAGTGATGGCGCATGTTAAAGCCAGTAAGGTGTGGCATTTTGAATCTATACTGCTTGAAATTTTCTACAAATACTAAACTCAACCAGTAATTCTAGGTGCGATATGTAATCTGGTCAAAGAACATGGAGTATGGAGCGCTGCTTTCCAAGCATACCCTCACGCTCATAAATCGAAAATTGGAGGTGTGTTCCTTGATTTTCGGTCTTTGTTTTTTTTAGTCGTACAACTTTTCCGTTGGAGATCTGTCTTCTGTTCCCTTCCTACCTCGCTTTTACTCACGTAGCCGTCAATCTATTATCCTTGTTCGCAATTGTAAGAGCTTATTCAATACAAATTCACTTTGGACGGGGAAAGAAAGGGGGGACCAACTGTTGAAAATCTGATCCGGCTGTCTTACCACTTTTTTGTGTCTTTTTTACCATTGTTATTAATGAATCTTCGAGTGTTATTCGTATGAAGCTTACGGTGATTCAGGTGCTGTGCTCGCAACAAGAGTCTACACGCGTGAAAAGTGGTGCTTGGGACGATGACGGCGTTTTCTTGTACACTACTAGCAATCATATCAAGTAAGATTTCGTTTGATGTGACAAGGTGAAAATCTGTGACCAATCCATTCTCGCCTCTAAAGGTATGCTCTGACTGCTGGAGATTGTGGCATCGTTCGTACTCTCGACTTGCCCCTTTATGTCCTAGCCGTTCGTGGTAACATCTTGTATTGTTTGAATAGGTCAGTTATTTCTCTTTCTACTCTGCAGATTTTTAATGGGAAATGGGGTCAATTCAGAGAGGCGACACCCGTCGAGGTGCCGATTGATCCAACGGAGTATCGATTCAAATTGGCGCTGATTAATCGACGCATTGATGAGGTACTTTCTAAGGTTTGAAGAAATTTGATCCGAAAGTTAATTCTTCTGTTAAGGTGCTGAATATGGTGAAGAGCTCAACATTGTTGGCCAATCGATTTAATCAGCTCTATCTAGAGAAGAAGGGTTATCCCGAAATTGCACTGCATTTCGTGAAGGACGAGCGAACTCGTTTTGGTCTTGCTCTTGAGTGCGGAAATCTCGATGTGGCTCTCGAGGCAGCCAAGGTTGGTTTCGACGGTTTATTTTAGCTTTTATTTAGTGTGGTATTTTGGCTCACACCAGTTCTTGTTTTCTTGAGCGATAGCGTTGAACTTTTAGATTTGCGATGACAAGTCTATATGGGAGGCCCTGGGTGAGGCAGCTCTGATTCAGGGTAATCACCAGGTCGTTGAGATGGCCTATCAAAGGACAAAGAACTTCGAAAAGTGGGTGCTCAGCAGATGCGTTGCATTTAGTCAATAATGTTTTTTTTTTATTTTGTCAGTAAGTAAAAAATTATTCTTCAGGCTGTCGTTCCTTTATCTTGTTACCGGCAACAGCGAGAAATTGTCAAAGATGATGAAGATTGCTCAGATGAGGAATGATGCTCACGGCCATTACCAAACGGCCCTGTATCTCGGGGACATCGAGGAAAGAATTAAAGGTAATTGTATCGCTGTTAATTTTAGCGGTGTATTCGCTTGTTTCGATTCATATATAATTTCAAATATCCTACCAGCCAATATTTAATATCTATTGTATTTGATCAAGAGATAGGATCTTGGATGAAACGTGAAGATATGGCTTTCCAGAATTGTAAACTGTCGCTGAGTTAGACTCCTGATCTAGCTGTTTCTTATTTCAGTACTGAAAGGTGTTGGACAAACATCACTTGCCTATCTGACTGCAGCAACCCATGGTCACGAGGAAGAAGCGAATCTCTTGCGGGCTGAACTAGAATCTAAAGGACAAACTATTCCTCCTATTGATCCTAACGCTAAACTTTTAGTTCCACCTCCACCGATCTGCAAGGTATTAATTGATAAATACTTTCCTCGACCAGCTTTGAGTGATTCGTCTTTAGCTGGAGGAAAACTGGCCTCTGCTTGCAACTGCACGAGGTCCGTTCGAACTACTCGGTCTTGTTCCTCCAAGCAAACGGGGCGGGGGTTGCTCACAAGCCGGCAGCGGCTGCGTTTGCTGTTGCGGATGATCTTGAGGTTGGTTATGAACAAGTTTATAACAAGTTCCAGGTAGAGAGTCATATAGCCTGTTATTGCCTGTTGTTACCCCTGTTCGGAATACGGCAACGCAAAGTAATTTTTCAGATGGAGGAAGGTGAAGCATGGGGAGAGGAGGGAGATTACCTTGTTGGTGAAGACGGAGAAATTGAAGTAAGCATGCATTGCAGTACTTCTTATTTGATGCTGTTTTGTCTAACTGCATTTACTGTTAGTCAAGTATTTTTGCTATTGTTGAAATTATCTTTATTAATTGAACTGCTAAGGTTGATGATGATGACATTCTTGCTGGCACTGCTGAAGAGGGAGAAGCAGGGTGGGATGTCGAGGACGATTTGGCGATTCCCGATGTACCTGTAGGAGCTGGAGCTGAGGGTATTTTCCAGTCTTCGTCATTATTTGTTGGATTTCGTGATCTCTGTCGCTAGCTTTGGTTATTAAGACGTTGTTGTACCGAACCGTGCCCAGCCTCCACCTTCACATTGGCCGGCCAACAGCCGGCTTGTGGCAGATCATGTAGCAGCAGGATCGTTCGAATCTGCGCTTCGTCTGCTCCACGATCAGCTCGGTGTTGTGAATAAGAAGCCGTTTAAGGAAGTTTTCATGGCTACATATGCCTGGTTCGTTGATTTTCATGTTTTGTCTTCACTTTTGTTCCTAATTCTACAGTAATGCCATGAGTTTTAGCTCACGTGTCACATTCACTGCATTGCCAAATACTAAAGTGCTCTTCGGATATCCTCTGAGAAATTGGCAGGAAGCGTCTGGAAAGTATGTGAATTCTAGTTGATTTATTAATTGCCTTCACTCATAAGCTATCATTTACAGGAGTGGTCTGCCAGCAGTTACGGTAACTTTAGCCGATTTGGCTGCGCGACTTCAAGGGTGCTATCATATGACAACCGCTGGTAAATTTGCCGATGCTATCGACAAGCTTCGTAAAATTCTTCTATTCGTTCCGATGCTCGTCGTCAGCTCGAAGCAAGAGGTAATTTACTTAGTACACGGGATGCGCCACCATTACGGTGGGTCTGCTAATATCCACCGATGTAAAAACGGTGAAATAACAGATTGAGGACTGATTTTTCTACAACAGTTTATTTACATAATGCCATTACATAACGTACGTTCAGATCTCAAAATGCCCTCCTCGCGCTCGAACACAGGCCTCTAGACGTGAGGGGAAGTCGTCCACTGTGGCGCGGAGGTACTCCAAAGGAATTTCTTCCCATGCTCTGAGCAGATCCCTCTTAAGTGAATCAATCGAGTTGTGTTGTTTAGAGCAGGCCTTGCTCTCCAACAACGACCACACAGAATAATCCATTGGATTCAAATCAGGACTGTTGGACGGCCATTCTTGAGCGGTGATAAAGCCTGGGAGGTTGTCCTTGCACCACTGCTGAGTCATCTTCGATCTATGGGCTGGTGCTGAATCTTGCTGGAACACGAACGGCCTGGAGCCGAAGTGGTATTTTGTCCAGGGCAGCAAGGCGTTCTTCAGCACGCTTTCCAAGTAGACTTCCGTGTTGATTTTAATATCCTCGTCGATGAAAATCAGTGGAGACTTGGCTTCGTAGGTTATCGCTGCCCAAACCATGATTTTCTCTGCATGCATAGATCGCTCATGAATTCTCCCTTTCTCGTTGGCTTCTTCAGCTGTTCTGCAGAGCACCCGATCGTTTTGACGATTGAATGTTGACTCCAACGTGAACAACTTTTCATCAGAGAAGACTATGTCCCGGTGGCGCGCTGACGTGAACCGTTCAAGGAGCACCTTGCACTTCTGGATCCGGTTCCTCTTCATAGATGCAGTTAGAAGGTGGACCTTTTGGCATCGATAAGGTCTAAGACCCAGTTTTTCCTTAACAATACGACGCACTGATGTATGACTTATTCCCAGCTTTTTGGCGATCTTCCTCATCGACCTTCTTCGGATTCCTCCGCACCATATCTCGGACAACTTTGACGTTTCTCGCGGAAGTTGCAGTTGCTTTTCTTCCTCTCCCTGGGCGATCTTCCGTAGAGCCGAGGTCCTTAAACCGTTTGATAGTGGAGTCCACAGTTCTCCTGCTGATTGATAGAGTTTTGGCGATGGTTTTTGAACAGCGACCAAGCTGGTGTAATTGAATGATCGCGGCTCGGAGAGGATGAGGTCCAACCATTTTGAAAGAAGCAAGAGCTGGCTATTGTAGCTTGAGCTTTTGATAGAGAAAGAAGTAAGTAACATGTTGGCGGCTGATTGGTAGATCACTGCTCAAATTAATCAATAGATCAAGTTGGACAACTTTGAGCAGGTAATTTTGGCGCACCCCTGTATCTTGTTTTACTTTAAGGTTTACTTTTGAGCTTCGTTAACCTTTGGGAGAGTGCCCGTTTTCAGGTAGCTGAGGCTGAACAGCTCATCGAAATATGTAGAAATTATTTGGTTGGGCTACTGATGGAGACGGCAAGAAAGGTAAGATTGGTTTAGCGACACTCCCATGGATTGTTACTGAGAAGTGTCTGTTTCTAGGAAATACCAAAGACCTCACCGGCTGAATTGAAACGAAATGCCGAAATGTTGGCATACTTCACGCATTGTGAACTTCAGCCGGTGCATCGGATTCTAACGCTAAGAACAGCAATAAATGCGTTCTTCAAGTTGAAGCAGATGCGAACTTGTGCATCGATGTGTAAACGACTTCTGGAACTTGGTAAGTAATCTCTTCGTCTTGCATGCAATAAACCTTGGGTAGTTTATTGGGTAGTAGCGCTGCAAACCATGCGCACGGTCCGGGGTCCCCCCCCCCCCCCCCAAATCCTCACTGGTACGCCGCCCAGGATAACCAAGACTTCCATCCTCTTTGGGTGGGATGAATTGTGCCAGGATTGTCGGTGTCTGTGTAAACGCTGTTTTAATGTACTGTCTTCGCAACTGTAGGTTAATTGCATTCGAAATACCGCACGGTTCAATGGAGGTAATGCATGACCATGAAGGTACTAATTAACGTTGAAGGCTTCTGCTTTATTTTGTTCAGCCCTTAGTGGGCGATATAGGATCTCATCTGCTTTGATTAGATTCTTTTCTTTATGTTAGGTAGAGGATAAGGGCGGAAGTGGTGTAGTGGCAAGTGGCACGCTTACCACGCGAGCGGGTCCGGGATCAAATCCTGGGTCGTGAGTCGCCCGGGCCAACCAAGCCTTCCATCCCTCCGGGGTCGGTTAATTGGTACCAGACTTGTCTGGGAGGATAAAAACACTGACTTGTACATCGGCTGGCCCCGCAAGTCATTGTATAGGCCACATCGCATTCAAACGCCACTACGAATGTACAAATGGAAGTAGAATGCGTGCCGCATCCCAAAAAGGGATTGATCAACGGCAAATGCTTTATCCTTTTGCTTTTCTTTATGTAGGTAAAGAGCGTTACTTCGCCAAGGGTAACCGTGCCACGAGCGCGTTGAGTGACGTACTTTTCTTAATACGCCACTGCTCACGACGGCCCAGCTGAGGCTGAGGGATTGGGCTGCGTCGCTTGACTTGCCGCGTAAGTGACACATTCTGCGGTTGCGTTACCTTTAGAAATGTTAAGCTTTACATCTTTTTAGTGGAGGCTTTGTGGCGTTCATTTGTGCCACATGCCGCTCGATTGCTGCATTTTTTTCCGTTGTTTCACGCTTCAAAATG